TAGATGGAATCCTGAACAGCATCCAGAATCTTTTGAGGTGGGAAATCTCCACTTGAAAGGACAAACAGACCAGCCTGGAGCAGCTAGAAGAACAGAAGATACTTCTTAAAAGAAAGACCGACAGGAAAAATAAAAAACAATAATAGCAGTCTGACTTATAGTCCTATTACTACAAGAATAAAAAAGTTGCTTGCCCAGGAGACATCAAGACAAGTGGTCAATTCCCCTGAGGACAAATCCCCTTCCAAGACTAAGACTCAAGGGGAATCCACGATCAGACATGCGGTCTGACTGGTGACCACGTTGGTCACTGATAAAGGGAAGTGATGGAAAAACAGCAATGAAGCTGTGAGCTATGTCCGACCATGTTCAATAGACTTCTGTGAACCCAGGTGGAGACCTGGTTGGCCAGCAGTATGGCAAGACCTGGGGACTCCTGGGCCCAGAGTCAGTGACATAGCCACAGAAGATTAGAGTGAAGAGTGAAGCACCCAGTGGATAAGAAGTGAGGGCACATGCACAAGAATACCCTCACTTGCAGACAATACCCACTTGATCTGGCTTCAATGGCTGAATGATTAGAACTCGACTAAAAGAAGAAATAAAAGGGGGAAAAAAAGTAATCTGATATAATTTGATGAATTTGACCTATACCTATGGATGCAGTCGCTCAAAAGAAGGAACAAATCTTTACAGTGAGGATCATTCCCACCCCTTTGGTACACAGGGCAGACAGGGATGGGCAACTTGGACACTGGCTGCCCGAAATGGGAGGGCTACAAAGGCAAGAAGTGACTGGCTTACAAGCTTTCAAGAGGGAGCCTAGATCCAGAGGGCATGGAGGAAGGTAGAATCTCTACTGAGTAGTATCTAATCTGTCTGGGAGGGGCTTATGAAAGGAGATGGGGATAGGACTCTTGTGATACAATAGTGAATAATTGTTATCAGGACTGACTGTGAGGGTTGGAAATGTAAAGGTAGACATTTTGTAGCAAAAGGAGGGGAGTGGTTGACTTTGCAGGCCAGAAGCGGCGGTCCCTGGGACCATCAAGGGAGAAGAGTGGAGAGCGGGACCCTACCCAGAGAAGCAGTGATGCCAGAGATGAAAGTAGAGATGATGACATGGAGAGATGGAGTGGCTGGGGACTCTAGACCCATAGAGGGAGAGGGGCTATGTGCTGATGACCAGGGGAGGGCTTGCAGGGTGTACCCTTTGGTTGGTTGATGATGCATGGAGGGGATTGTAACCATGGCAATATACTTATTATACAATAGGATGGACGTAAAACTAATGTTCTCTCATGCAAAGTATCACATAATTCACAATACAACATTAAAAAAAAAAAAGTTAAGACAGTGGGCATGCCCTTGTCTGTGCTGTCATTCTAGAACTTGGGTTTAAATTTCGTACCTAAAGGAGTGTTGTTTTAGTTGTTAGGCGCCATTGAGTCAGTCCAGGCTCCTAGCAATCCTATGTACAACAGAATGAAAAACTGCCCAGTCCTATACCATCCTCACAATTGTTGCCATGCTTGAGCGCACTGTTGTTGCCACTGTATCAATCTAGCTTGTTAGGTCTTCTTTTTTGCAGATCCTCCACTTTTCAAAGCATGATATCTTTCTCCTGGGATGGGTCTCTCCTGACAACATGTCCAAAGTATGAAAGATAAAAAGTATCACTGTCCTGGCTTCTAAGGAGCATTCTGCCTATACTTCTTCCAGGACAGATTTTTTCTTCTGGCAGCTCATGGTACTTTCAATATTTTCTAGCAAAACCATAATTCAAATGCATTGATTCTTCTACAGTCTTCCTTATTCATTGTCCGACTTTCACATGCATGTGTTGTAGTTGTTTTAAAGTGTCATCTTATTGGTTCTGACCCATAGCAACCCTATATAGAGTTCCTGAGGAGTGGTTAGTGGGTTTGAACTGCCAACCTTATGGTTAGCAGTCCAGTGCTTATCCTACAGTGCCATACCAGGACTCTACATGCATATAAGGTAATTGAAAATACCATGTCCTCAAACTGACATCTTTGCTCTTGAACACTTTAAAGAGCTCTTTTGCAGCAGATATGCCTAATTCAATATGTTATTTGATATCTTGATGCCTGCTTCTATGAGCATTGATTTTGGTTCCAAGCAAAATAGACTTTGAGAACTTCAATCTTTTCTCCACTCATAATGTTATTTAAATGGTCCAGTTGTGAAGATTTTCATCTTCACTGAGGTACAATCCGTGCTGAAGGCTATAGTCTTTGATTTTCATCAGTAAGTAGTTCAAGTCCTCCTAGCTTTCAAGAGCAAGCAAGGTTGTGTCACATGTAATATCACAGGTTGTTGTTGACTCTTCCTCCAATCCTGATGCCAGCTTCTTAGATCATTTTCTCGGCATACAAATTGAATGTACTAGGGGAGTGAGCAAGTTTTATCTGGACAGACAAGAAGTGAATATCTTGTCATGTCAGGAATGCCATAAATGTTGAGAGTTTGGACTTTCTGATGTTGGAAATGTGTTCCAACTCTTATTTTTAACTATCTCCTTGATAGGTCTGAGGTTCTGCAATGTCCCTGTTGTCAGATATAAATTTAAATGATTTTGGTAGCTTCTTCCCATCTGTAACCTGCTCAGGATTGGAGGTGCTTTCTCTAGCTTGAAGATCATCTTAATGAAAAAAAATCTAAAATATGTCCAGAGGAGAGTTAACAGGGTAGAGAGTAGTCTGGAAACCATGTCACTGGGACATTCACAGAGACGGAGTATATGGAAGAGAAGACTTAAAGAAGAGGAGAGATGGGGGTTGTTGTTGCTGTCTCCAAATACTGGAAGTGTAGGCAGGTGGAACCTTGCATTTATTCAATAGATGTCCACTGAGCACTTCTATGTACCAGGGATTGAGATAGGCACTAGGAAGGAAGGAAGGAAGGGAGGGAGGGAGGGAGGGAGGCAGGGAGAGAGAGAGAGAGAGAGAGAGAGAGAGAGAGAGAGAGAGAGAGAGAAAGAAAGA